TAAAAAAACCTGTTAATTTTCTTGCTCTTTTTAATATCTAGTGAGATATTTGTCCATGGGGACTTGAAATGGGATATCTTCCAAGTGATGATTTCAAGGTCAACTACACCAGACCTGATCAAAATAGGAATGAAACTCCAGGAGTTCTTCACGCAGCAGTTTGATACAAGCAAGCGAGCTCTGTCCACGTGGGGACCTGTTCCTTATCTCCCTCCCAAGACAGTGGCAAACAACTTGGAGAGAACCTCACACGAGCAATGTAAGTGCTACCAAAAAATATGATTCCCGATTGAAATGTTTTAATTGCAAAAGTTACCTAGGAGACAGTGTCAGGGAAACAGAAAGTATCACTCGTAATTCCAATTTTTACTAAAAATAGAAATATGCCAGCAGTTTTTTCTGCACCTTGCCTGAGGTTTGTTGTTCACATTTGCTCTGCAGTGTTGGATGCAGCCCATCATCGCCACTGGCCAGGAGTTCTGAAGGTGGTATCTGGGTGCCACATATCCCTGTTCCAGATGCCACTGCCAGAAGATGGGATGCAGTTTGGAGGATCCATGAGCCTGCATGGGAACCATATGACCCTGGCGTGTTTTCATGGACCTAATTTCCGCTCAAAATCGTGGGCCTTATTTCACCTGGAAGAACCCAATATTGCATTTTGGACAGAAGCTCAGAAAGTTTTGGAAGATGGTAATTTAAACTGTTTACTCATTCCTCTAAATGTCTTTGAATGAGTTTTTAATGATGTATTATTACATGAGAATAAATCAAAAATTTATTTTCTTTGTCTGAATCAAGAGTATTTCCCAAAAATATACCATTTATCTAAAAATAATCTGTTCCCTCCACACCTTTACCACAATTTTGCCTTATGTGTGGAATGAAGTACATTTTCAAGTGTACTGGGTATGTCCCTGATAACGAGCCTACCGAGTGGATTCGCTGGCTTTTTCATTGTTTGTGTAGTCTTTCCTAGCTGTATGATGAATTTTGGTGATCTTATTGCTTATATTAGTCTTAATATTGTGAAGTTTTATTGTTTGTAGAGGATTTGATTTCTCTGTTGTTTTCAAGCTTTATACCAGCATTTATACCACTGGCACACTAATTATTCATATTAATTACCTGTAGGAGAATGAGAGAAAATTCCACTACCCTCACTAAGCTGCTTTTACTTTTTTTTTTTCCTCTCCCATACCACGCTGCCCACACCTCCAATGCAGGTACCAGTGAGCACTCCACGTACATTGTTCAAACCCTGGACTTTCACTTGGGCCATAACACCATGGTGACCAAGCCCTGTGGGGCCCTGGAGAGCCCCATGGCCACCATCACCAAGATAACGCGGCGGCGCCACGAGAATCCCCCCCACGGAGTGGCCAGCGTCAAGGAGTGGTTCAATTACGTGACAGCCACGAGGAACGAAGGTCAGAGTCAGCCTCACTCAGCCTGGGGACTGATCTCCTTGCACAGGGAGCTGTTGGAAAGCTGCTGCATCTCAAGTGTATAAACAACGAGTTTGATGGACCTTTGCTAGACATGCTGTTGGGAGCAGAATAAAAATCTTCTCAGTAATCATACAGCAGCAGTTTTACATGGGACTTTTCTTAACTTTTTTGCCTTGTCATGATTTAACATGTCCCATTGTTCCTGTAGAGTTGAACCTGCTGCGGAATGTTGATGCCAACAATCCAGAGAGCAGCACAACAGTGAAAAGCTCGAGCTTGTTAAGTGGCTTCAGGGGTGGCTCCAGTTACAACCATGAAACTGAAACCATCTTTGCATTGCCAAGGATGCAGCTGGATTTTAAATCTATTCATGTTCAAGAGCCCCAAGAGCCTTCATTACAAGGTGCAGTAAAACATAATTTGGTTTTTCTTGGTGAAAAAGTATTTCTTGCAAATTAGGAGTTAAAGGCAAAGGTAGTGGGCTGATAAGAGGGTTTAATGAGAATTGCTGCAGATCTACAAGAAAAAAATAACATTTTGTAGTAAAATGTAGAGGGAATTCTTTTAAGAGAGTGAAGATCTAGTGCAGAGATGGGTTGCTGTAGAAAACAACTGAAAAATGAATATGAACATTTCAGCTACACTGGCTGTTTTCATAGGCTTGGTTTCCTTATATTTATTAAAATGTTAACTGCGGTCCTTCCTCTCAAAAGTTGCTGATTCAATGAAAATATTATTTTCAAATGATTTGCCTTCCAATTCTATGTGCTTTTTGACTTACTGTATGTACTTGTAAGTGTACTGATGCTATTTTTATCTGGCTGTAGATACAAGTGTTAAACCAAAGGTGGAATGCAGTGTGGTAACTGAATTTACAGACCACATCTGTGTGACCATGGATGCTGAACTGATCATGTTTCTGCATGACTTGGTGTCTGCTTATTTAAAAGAAAAAGAAAAAGGTGAGTTGTTGTTCAGGAAGTAACACTTGTCTAGAGCAAATACTCTTAAGTCTCCTATTTTTATTTTTAGTTTAGTTATTTTTAGTGAAATACCATGTTTCTTTTCATAAGATGGTATAGGCAGATGAAAACTTTCAGAAAGCTTTATTCTTGCTATTGCAATCCTTTCATCTGTGGGGTCCTTTTAAGATATGCATTTTTCTGATTTCAGAATTATGTACTTTTCTGCCTTTTTAATGTTCAGCTGCAGCATTCAAATCTGGCATGGTCCTTCTTAAGCAATATGTGGCCGCCTGCAGAAAATCTGGAAACATGAGGTGGTTCTCTTCTTGTTGAGACTTGTGCTTTTGTTTTATTTAAGCTGTGTACAAAAAGAGTCCAAGTGAGCTGCTCATGGCTGACTGGTGTTTTCCTCTCTCCCCCTTGCAGCAATTTTTCCTCCTCGCATTCTGGCTGCTCGTCCAGGGCAGAAGAATTCTGTTGGTGTCCTTGAGGACAGCTCCACTGATAAAGAGGCAGAGGAAAGCATTACCTACACTACAGTTGACTGGAGGGAGTTTATGTGCAATACTTGGCATTTGGAACCCACACTCAGGTAACAAGCAGCTTTAGTAGCTGCAGTCTCTTTGGCCGTGCATTAACTTCTGGGTTAGATTTTATGCACATTAAAGGTATTGTTGGAGGCGCTTCTGAATTAGGATACAGTGAACTTTAAACTCATCAGTTTCAGGTTTTTCACCTCTTCCTTTGAGAGGATGTTCCATTGATCATCTTGAGCTTATGTGTCTAAATCAAGTTTGAAACAATGCCTGTTAGATTTAAGATTTGACCATGAGTAATACTGGGGAAAATTGATTTTTTTTTTGTATATACAAATGCCTATTTGCTATATTTATATATTCGAGACTGAGTCTATTTATTGCTTTCCTAGATTAATATCCTGGACTGGGAGAAAAATTGATCCTGTTGGTGTTGACTACATCCTCCAAAAGCTGGGCTTTCACCATGCAAGGACTACTATCCCTAAGTGGCTGCAGCGTGGTGTTATGGATCCTTTGGACAAAGTTTTGTCAGTCCTTATAAAGAAACTTGGTACTGCACTACAAGATGAAAAGGAGAAGAAAGGAAAAGACAAAGAAGAATATTAAAAGTACAATGTGACAACCCTAACTCCATTTGATTTTATCAAAGTGTTTTATTATATTTTAAGAACTTAAATATGGTTTAAAGAGAAACCTAACAGCTTTTTGCTACTCTATTTAAAACTTACATTGTGAGTAACTGTTTACTGTGGTACTTGATACCATTCTGTATTTGAAGTTATTGCATGATAATGATGATGACCAATGTATATTCTGTGAAGGAATAGCTGGAACACTGTAAATCTGCTCCTCAGCGTCCATTTTATGATGTGCAATATGATCCTGCATCTTTACAATACTTGCAGATTAACTGTGAATTTTCTTAAAATTTTACTTGCCATAACACAAACCCCTCGTTCATGTGACCAGTAATTGATTTGTCAATGTAGACTGGTGTAAATTATATATATATATAACTTATGAAACTGTGATTGCCTTAGTGCTAAAAATCATGAAGTTTATTACACTTGTAATAAAATTTAACTACTGTACAGGACCTTTTTTTTTTTGCATCGATCAAGGAAGCTGAACAACGAGAAGAGCGTTTTAAGTGTAACTCTGCAGACTGTGACTGAAGTGAGGTCAAGCCAGAAGCCGGGAGCTCGGCAAGCAGCCGGAAGGCGGGAAGCGCCGCCCCCACCCAGCAGCGCGGACGCGGCGCTTTCGCCGGGATCGGGGAAGCGGCTGCTCCCGCTCCCTCACGGCTGTGGCGGCTTCGGGTGCCGCCCTTGCCCGGCGGGAGCGGCCCGGGAAGGGGAAGCAGGCGGCTGGAAGCGCTACTGAAGCCGAGCCGGCAGCACAGGGGCCAATTTAGTAGCGCCCTCGCTCCCTCAGCCGCTCCCTCAGCTCCTCCCTCAGCTGCAGCTGCGGCCTCGCGCTTCGGCCGCGCCCCTCACAAAGGGCGGGAAGGGCCGAGAGGGGCCGGCCCCGGCTCTGAGGGACCGGCGGGCTGAGGAGGGAGCGGTGCTCGGCTCTCGGAGGCCATCGCCTCAGGGCAGCCGGCACTTCCTCGGCTCCTCCAGCTTCGTGAGCCCTTAGGGGCGCTCCGCCTGTCCGCGGGTGTGAGCGCTGAAGAACCCTCCACAGCTGGACCAGGGCAGCAGGTGCAGGTACCAAACCCTTTAACTGCGGCGCTAGCTTGGCCTGGAAGCTTGAGAGGGATCAGCTTTGTTGCTTTAGTTCGCCTCATTCCCTCAGGAGAGTTGTTCTGAGGTGTGTCCTTCGAGGGACAGGCCCGCCTTAGGCGTGAGGGGAGGTGGTGTAACAAGAGGAGAACTGGCCGCCGTGTGGGGAAGGACACCGGGTCTGGGTTCTACCCCAGCTCTGGGCGAGTTGTTCTTGGTGTTCCTATGAAATAGCTTGACCAGGAGAACTGCTGGGTTGTTTGCAGGTTGTTTTTGCTGCTGGCAGCATTAGTGAGTTAAGTTTCCTTAGGTCGGTCGGAAATGGCGAGCAGCACTGGCTGCTTTGAGGGTGCGGCAATGTTCGCCTTCGACCCCGCACCTGAGAAGATTTTGCTCCCCGACGTTCTCAGACAGCCAATTTCAAAGGATCTCTCCGAGCCTGTGGTTGCAAGGCTGAATCCTCCACCTTGTGTGATGTGCAATGAACCGGGGGTGATGAAAAATCCAGGTATAGTTTGCAGTTTATACACCGGGATTGGCTGTTAATGCTGTTGAAAGTAACTTTGCTTTTTCTTATCGCTGTGTTTTCTTACATGACTACTTTGGCATCTCCTTAAACTTGTCCCTCCTCTTCTAAAGCCTTTTTGTGCTGGAAGTTTTTTAGCCATTTGTTGTGGGGTGGCCTGTGTAGTCTGCAGCATTACCTGTTTATAAAGTTCAAGTTAACTGTAGAGTAACAAAATATAGAATACGTTCTGCTGCATGAATGTTATAAATAACATTGTGAAAGGGTTTAACTGCAGTTTGAGATGTCCCAGGGGGTTGTATTTTGAATTGCTTTGAGTAGTTGTGTTGCAGTAAAGGCACTGTTAAGACTCTTAAAAGCGAGGATTTCTTGTTGGCTGGGAAGCGGTTGTGCTTGGGTCTAGCACACCCCTGAAGCTGATTGTTGCATCTATCCAGTGGTTGCTGAAACTTCTGTAGTGTCTCAGAACAAGGAGTCCTGCTGCTGCCCAGCTTTGTGTGGAAGAAACACAGGCTCCACTGTTTGCTATCTGCCATCAGCAACTTGGATTTGATTGTTGATTTGCAAGAGAGGGGAGGGGGATATATGTTGTATTTTGTTGTAGTACATATCTCTGTCTATATTCAGGGATTATGGGATTTACTACAGTAAAAGGTTTGATGCTCGTAAAAGAGAACGCACAACTGCTTTGGAATTGCTCTTGTTGCTAATGCAGGGTTCAGTACAAAGCACTAATGCTCCACAGTAAATTTTGGTTTGCTTTTTTAAGAAGCATCTGAAAAGCTTTTGTTGTTTTGTTTGTTGTTAGCAGATTTTCAGGGAGTGTGTTCAGTTCTCTCCTTAATTTTGTTTAAGGACATTTTCTTTCTGAAGGAGCTGACACCACCACATTTTCAGCCTTTCCCTCGCAGAATGACCTGGATTTGATTGAGAGATACAAACAGGGAGTAATAAACTCAGTGTCTGCCTTGCATCTGTTTGCCAAAACACACCACCTGCAGCTTGAATTGAAAGAAACCAGCGTGGCAGGTAAACACTTCTGCTACCAAATAAAGTGGTGTTTGGGTGTCCTTGAGGATATCTGAGTTGATTGGGCGGTGCTGGTACAGCTGAACCTTGTTACTGGCACTGCCCCCGCATGTGTTGGGGTTCGGCTGCGCTGTCCTTGCCTCCGCAGCTGTGTTGTGTCCTTGTGAGGTGCTACAGAAATCGAGCAGGTCAATTGGCTTTAATTACGGCTGCTAACACAAATTTGTGAAGAGTGCATGAACTGAAAGGTGCCAGAGTTTTTGGGGAGGTTATGGGTGAGGGCTTTACTTTGCCAAAATTGTCTTTTTGCCTTGTATTTCTTCAAGGAATTAATACAAGGACATAAAGCTGTGGATGAAGTGCCTTACAATAGTTTCACTGCTTGCGTTCTCTTTTTTGTTCTCCTTTTAAGGCGACGTCATAAGGCCTTACTTTGCCTTTTGTGCTGTGATAAATGGGGTTTGCTACAAGACTGGGCTGGGAAAGAACAAGAAGGAATCTAAATTAAATGCAGCTAAACTGGCTCTTGCTGAGCTACTCAACTTGGAGAATACAGGGGCAAAGTCTTTTGAAGATTCAGGTAAATATTGTAGCAGCACCTAATTAGAACTTGAAATGCTTGGCTTAACAACAGCCTATGCCAAACATCTATGGTTTTATTAAATACTGCAGTATTGGCCTCTGCCAGGTTTTTTGAATCCTTGGGGCAAATCTGTAGTTTGATTCTGAAACTGGTTTTTATTTTTGTCATTTGTGTATTGAGAGTTGCATCAGCTGATGCCAGGAACACTGAAGGAATTAATTCGTTGCTGTTGCACTTGATTTGCTACTCACTAGGTGCAGCAACAAGAAGTACATCTCGAGTGGGTTTGAATTTTTATGATTAAAAGGCTTCCCCACTGAGGTACTGCTTTCAACAGAGTTCACTTGCCATAATATTTTATCTTATGTTGAGTTTTGCTGTGTGAATCATTCTAAGCTTACAGGGACTTAAAAGTCAGAAGAGCAAGTTCATAGAGAATTAGAAAGTTTGACTTGCTGCAAATAATGTGAGATTCACGTTTAGAAATTAGGCATGTCCATCCCACTTCAAAATGTTCTTAAATTCTTAGCTTTTTCCTGTGTTCCTGCTGAGCCTCGACCTCCAGGAAACTCTGCTTGTGTTTCAAGAACTGGTAAGGAATAGTCTTTCTTTTCCTCTGTTGATTCAAATTGCTCAGCAAATAGTTTCTTTTTAAAAATTATTCATCTTTTAATACACTTAGTGCTTCTCTATGTTGTTAGTATTGTTTTAAACATATTTGAAGGCTGTAAGAGCTCATATTACTAGGTCAGTTCTACAATATGACACACCTTCAGTAAATTGCTTGAATTTCTGTCACCAGTCCAGGTGACAGAAATAGCAGCAATATTCTCTGTCTTTACTTGAGCTAGTGTGCAGTAGGTGATCCAACTTGGGCTATATCTGTTGTTACTGTAATGGATGATAAAAACATCAAGTATTTGAGTGTTCTTGAGCTTTTTTTAATCCTGGGGATCTTAAGAATCCCAGAAATACGTGTGGTTGTGCTTACACCATGTGTTCAGGGATACATTTGGCAAGTTGCTCATGTCTGTTATTTCTGGTACCTGTAAATTTGTGTCTTGATGGATTCTGTTGTTCCATTTAGGAGGAGAACATATCTATCAAAAGCTCTCACAAATGCTGGAGGAAGTGTTCAACCGCCTGACTAGCCAACACCCCGAGTACCAAAGCTGCGGCAGCTCCCTGGCTGCCTTCATCATTGAAAAGGGCAAGTCTGGGTTGATTGTGAGCTTTGGGGAGGGGGAACTCTGAGAGCTTGGTGGGCAGCCAGCCCCAGTGAGCCCCCCATCCTGTCTGCTTTTAGGTGGGCAGCACGAGGTGGTGGCTCTGGGGACAGGAGAGTGCAACTACAGCCGGCGCGTGGAGTCCTGCGGGAGGCTCCTGCACGACAGCCACGCCATCGTCACTGCCCGGCGCTCCCTGCTCAGGTGGGAATGTCTCTGCAAATCCTTCCCTATGTGCCACTGTCACTGCTGCACCTGAATTCTAAACCTATGGAAACAAATAATAATGCAAACATGTATTCAGACTATGTATAATAATTTATTAAAGTATTCAATGTAAAATACATAATTTGCTTTTATTTTAGATACTTGTACAGGCACCTTTTGCTGTTCTATAACAAAAATCCAGCCAAGGCAGAGAGATCCATATTTTGCACAGCACCAGGCTCGAAGCTGCTTACCTTAAAGCAGAACATAACTCTGTCTCTCTACATGAACCAGCTTCCAAAAGGAACTGCTCAGTTAAAATCAGAGGTGTAAGTACCGTGGCATTTCCTGAGATAATAGTGGAAGGTGAATTTTTATTTTGTTTTGGGAACATTAATGTACAGGGTAGTCATGATATATATGCAGTACAGCTCAATATGGTGATACAGAAAATTTCTTTGTGGGTTATATAAGTTCTTGGTTTTGTTTATTACAGACAATGAGCTGTTAACCCCTTTCCCAAGATAGTATTAAAATACTATAAAATCATGAATTTAACCATTGAGCAAGTAGATGTAATGACCTAATGCCATCAAATGCACTACAAGATTGGAGTACAAAAAGCCTTGAATTGAAACCAAAGGCTCTGCTTTGATGTCTTGCCTCTTTGTAACTATGGGAAAAAACTGTTTTGCTTTAGAACAACCACTGGTTTGTCTCCCTTAGGTGTTGTATCTACTTACTTAAATATTTTGAATCACAGTGTGAGTTATGTTTTTAAGGAGATTTTAAGAACCTTACAGGTGTTTTTTCACAAGTAACTGTTACAGTATGAGTAGACAAAAAGTGACAGCTTGTTTGCAGCTGTTTGATTTTTTTTTTTTATGTGTGCATTAAAATTAGACTGGTGGCTAAGATTAGATTGAGTGGCTATTTCCTATTTAAATACTGATTTCAGTGTTGTAGGCACTTGAGCAGCTCAGTCTGGTGTTTTTAAGAATTACAGACATTGAAGATAACACAAGGCCTAGATGCAGTGGTGATTTTTTTGTCAAAAGCAACCTTAGCTAGCGCTTACTGCAATCTCTGATCAGAGTGCCTGCTCACTGAAATCCGTTCTCCTGTCCTGCCACAGGCATCTCGGTCCCCAGTCCATCTCTGCTTACGAAGCCAGCGAAGAGCTGAGTCTGCACGTTGCCCTGGAAGGCAGGATTTACCTGGCTGTCTGCTGTCCCCCCAAGACTGTCAGAGTGAGCAGCATGTCAGCTGGGGACAAACTCACCAAGTGGGAGGTGGTTGGTCTTCAGGGAGCCTTGCTGAGCCACTTCATCGAACCCGTGTACATCAGCAACATTCTCGTGGGTATGTTCAGTGCCAGCTCCGGGTGGGGGGGTTTGTGTGTTTCTGTATTGCAGTTTGATTGCATTTTATAAAGCATGAACTAAACCAAAGGTACTTGGAAGAATTAAGAATTGTTCTTTGAGATGCAGTGAACCAAAGTATATTTGTTCAGTAGGCAGTCAGAAATGCTGTTGAATGTGAGGTAATGTGGGCAAACTCCTCAACATATTTTCTATGCTGGAAGGTTGAAATTCTGTTTGAGTAGGGAACGTAAAGAGCTGTTGAAAAACAGTGGTTCAAAAAAGAAAACATTTTCCAGTAAAAATAATGGTGCCTCCGGAGAAGAAAACGGGAAATCATTTTTGTTGTGTGAATTGAATATTGGAACTGATCTTTACAAACGTGGATTTTATGGCAAAAATGACTATAATAGATCAGGAATGCAGAAATATCTGCATTTTTAACTATTTAATTTGATGTACTTGCATGTGGCTGATCTTGTCCTGTTGGCTAGGAAATGGAAGCTGTAAGGACACAAAAGGACTGGACATTACCATAAAGCAGCGTCTTGATGATGAACTCATTTCGAAGCTTCCTGAGCATTACCTGGTCAACAGATCTCACATTTACTTGGTGAAAGCTGCACTGCCAATCCAAACAGATTTGAACCAGTGGTCGCTTAGTTTGAATTGGACATTGTCAGATGCATCCTTAGAGGTTGTGGATGGATTAAGTGGGAAAACCACTGAAAGGTCAGTGTTTATCTTCATTTTAATGGATATAATGGGTTTGTGCTGGCTTATTGTAGTATTCAGTTTTCTAAGCTATGAGAGAAATTCTCTCCTGTGTTAGTTGAAAGCATCCTGTGATTAGGTGAAATTTTAGAGATCTTTTAAGCTCACAGTGAGATCGCAAGGCACCGAACAAAACAGCTCTCTCAGTGGAGATTGCCTGTAGTAGTGAAAATGTTTTATCTTTCACAATGCATAAAACTAATTGGGATTCCAATTGAGACGGATTCCAGCACGATGGCATTCACTAGTGTTAGTGGGGAGGGGAAAACCCCTGTAAGGCTCAGAGCTCTCCCGCGGTGAGTTTGTTCCCGAGTTCCATGGCCGTTTCCCCGCTCTGCCCGCAGCTCCCCGTTCCGCAGCGGCACCTGCCTGGCCAGCCGCCTGTGCAAGGCCGCCATGTTCAGCCGCTTCAGGATGCTCGCCAGGGAAGCAGCACGGGCCGACCTGCTCCAGTTCCCAACGTACCATGAGGCAAAGGTGAGCTGACGTGGGGAGAGGGGTCATCTTTGCAGTGTTTGTGCTTGTGCTTACTGCATGTTGGTGGCAGAGAACTCTGATCCTGTTAGCGTTCAAAAACACATAATCACGGGGGATTATATGCGGTGCTTTTTATTAAGAGCTCTGGGAGTCGGGGTATATTCAACCCAAATCTGACTCCGACCATACATGCAAAATGATCATGTTTTATACTCTATCGTTACATAACTTTCATGTTAATTATTAAACTTATATTTTTCTATTGTATACATAAATTTAGCCCCTCTCTGAATTTCCAACATAGTTTCTCACTATTCTTCTTATGGTTATATAATAATTACATTTAATTACTAAACAATCATCACATCTAACAATTATATAATTTATCATACTGCTTACACAGGTGCAGTTGATCTGGGAAAGCACAAAGCCTAACATTTTAGATTCTATCTTTAACTTTTTCCAGGGTTCCACTATCAATCCCTCTGAGTAATTCTTGAGCTTTTTCTACAGATCTCTCTGTAACTCTAATTCATGAGATTTTACAAGCTGTATCTTTTTTCTTCTTTTAGATTAAATCTCAGTTGTACCAGGAAGCCAAAAGCTTGCTGCAGAGCTACCTAGAGCAGCACAGCTACGGATCGTGGATTGTGAAGTCTCCGCATATTGAACAGTTCAGTGATTGATGGAGGTGGATTAAATGTCAAGTTGGTTTGAATGATCTGTTTCAGTAAATAGAGTTCTGAGTAGTAAAATGTTCAACTTTCAAGTTGGTAGTTACAGGAAGAAAACAATTCCGGAACTGCTTCTTGTCAGTTTAAATGCAGTTATTAAACTACCTGTAGTAGTTCGGTCTTTTCCCAAAATTGATGTTTGCTCATAGGTGGGAGTATCCAACAGCTTTGTAAAACTTTGTTCTGCTTTGCCCCCCGGTGCCACCTCATTTCCTCTCACTGACCCTGACTCCTACAAATCCCCACCCTGTGGAATTAACATGGTTTTTTCCTGATAGTTTCAGGATTTCTGTACATTGATTTCTTCTTTTTCCTCCCTTTCTCATAACTTCAGAAAAGAAAAAAAAACCAGTAAAAGCTGGATTTCTTTAGAAAAAAGGCATGCTAACATGAGAGTCTTCCAGGAAAAAAAACACATGGACAATCTGTGCTTATCTGTAGGCATTCATCCTTTGCTGAGAGTTTTGTTTAGTGTCAGTCTGCCAACTGGCTTATAGCTTATGTTGTTTGTGCTAGAAGAGTTAAATAATAATTTTTGTCCTTCCAAATGTGAAACCTGGAATGACTGGCTGTTACTCAACTGTTTTGTGATAATTACTGGTTCTGGTAGTGGGTTTAAAGCATTATGCAGGTGTCAAAGCTGTAATTGAGAAAGTAATGCAATGCAGTACAGAAGTCTCCAGAAACAAGATTTTTTCAGCTTTTGTGATTTGCCTCAAACCCCATCAGCCATCAGCGTTAATGCTTATGGATGAGTTGGACTCCTGCACTGAAGATGACTTCATCACTGCACTGACAAGTCCCAGTGAAATCATCTGCATACACAGTAACCTGGAAAATAGTGCCTGTCACAAGGGAATTTACTCCTTTTGAGTCCTGATGGGAACATGGTAGCATTGGGAAGGTGTTGTTGCATGCCATGTTTGGAGTTGGCGTGGTGTTGTGAACAGTGGCGTGTTCAAGCTAGACAAGTACACCTGGATTATGTTTGTGATTCCTGTAAATCATGTGAGGGGGATCACACAGTGTTCCCATACATCAGGAATAGTGAGCGTAGGGCTGTAGTCATGTTTCACCTTCTCAGTGTCAGAGGATTCTCAAAGAAGTTCCTCCTCCTGGTGTTTGTTTCTTTCCTTGATCTGTTCTTCCAGCTAATAGGAGAGTCTTCTGTTGGGATGATTGTATGCTGAATCACAAGTTGTTGAAACTCGCTGACCTGTTACTGCTTGGTCCTCGACCTTTTTTTTGGCTTATGTGCTCTCTTGTGTTCTGTTCCTGTCCCTTAACTTTGGGGGTTGTGTGGTGGTTTTTGGTTTATTGTGGTGCATGTTCCACAGACTGCTTGTTCCATGTAATGTTTTCTAAGAATGCTTGGGAATGGCCATCGTGTTCCAGGCTAGAGCACAGTGTTGCCTTTTTGTAGGGGTGTTAAAAGTTCAATAAATGTCCTTGACAATGCATTAGCTATACCTTCATATGTAGGGATGCTGGGAAGTGATATACATGTTAAATCTGACACACACATAGCATACCACACATGTGTTTGCATTCTGTACACTCCTGGATTGCTTTTTATATGGCCTTAGTCTTCTGCTGAGGTATTGGCCCCAAGGTGTTTCCTGTAGTTGTACACATTTAAGGCTTCCTGACCCAGAAGCCTTAAATGTCTACAAGTACTGAGGTTTTTTTTGTGTGCTGCAGCCATTTTATTAATTGGACAGCAAACTGAAATTTCCATGCAACTTAGGTGCTACCTTAGGAACAGAGATATTTGTTAGTGGAAAGGATGTGTTTGGCTGGACATGATCACTGTGTCCTTGAGCAGTAGCTTGATGGCACCGGTGTAGGTCCAGTTCTTTTGCCTGGGTTGTTCTTTGATTAAGTAGCAGCATATGCAGCATGCATCAAGCTAGTAAATGGAAGCATGGAGATGTTGTGTCCGGGTTTTTCCTTGGCTACTTCAGTAATTCCAACATGTATGATCTTAGAAGCTTGAGAGAGGCAAGAGTGCTGCAGTTCCAGTGCTGAGGCTGAAGCTATTCCCAGCCAGATCCATGCACATGGAGCAGGTGTGCATCACACAGATGTGGCACAGAGCAGACACAGGCAGGTGAGTACCAGCAGCAGCCTGTGGCAGGGCTCAGCCTCTCCCCTCCCTTCTTGAGGAGAACTGAGCTCTGGGGAGAAGAATGGATGTACACATGGAGTGTGGGGGTGTGCCTTCCTATTCATGGAGCTCTACCTGGACAGCTGGAGTGACACACAGTGACCTTTACGAGTGGTGCTTCCTGATTCTTGCCCCCACCGAGACTCCAAACCACATGCTGCTCTCTACTTCCCATGCTTCTCCCTTCACCTCCCTTCTGCAGTGGCATGGAGTGGGGAACTGGGGGCAGAAAAGACAAAGGTCTTGGAGTTAAGAACAATTTACTGGAAACAGCAGTGGTTCACAGGGGGGAGAAAAAACCCCAATAACAGACAATAGTGGACAGCTCCTTCCACCGTTTTCTGAACCAGAAAGAAATCCTCCTTGGAAGAGGATCCCTCTCTGACATCCCTGGTAATGATGTGAGGTGGTACAGAATGAGCTCTGTGTCTTGGCTGTGCCCTCTCCTGGATGCTGCAGAAAATCCTATCCTGGATGGAACCAGAACATTATTCATCCTTTTTACGTAGGGACACAGGTCTCATTTCCATAGCCAATGGCTCTCTGTCCAAGATGTTGGTTGAGTTAATTTGATCCATCTCTGTGGCTTCTGTCTATCCTAGATGGACACACAATACACACAGTATTACACAGTTCAACATTACAGACTGTTCTCCCCCAGAAATCAAATCCCCTTCAGGTACAAATTGTGTTTCCCCACCTCTGCATTACCTGCCACATCCCCTGGGTTTTGGGGCTAAAAACAATCCCACAGCTGGTTTTGCCTCTGCCTGAGGCAGGGCTAGTCCACTGTTCAATGTCATGTGTCATGTCACACCATGTCTCAGACTTGGTAAGTTCACATGCATGGCACGTAAATGTCACATGCTACATATGTGTACACCCCTGTCATGTCACATGCATTTTGTGGCACATGTCAAACATCTTGATTTGATACTAGAACTGTGCAATCACGCAGGGGAAGGCAGGTCAGGAAATCAATGTTGATAACTCTTTTTAGGGATTCTGTGATTTTTTTTACAGCATAGTGGGGGAAGGTACGTTTAGTAAAGTTCACTTTTATGCATTTTCAGATGCTTTTTAACAGCATCCTTTTGATCTAAAAACATCTTTTAAAGCTTGGGCAAGTACAGAAGCTGGCCCGGCAGATGCTGTTTAAGAATGTGGACCTTCCTATAATTAGGTGTAGATTTGACAGACATGACCATGTGTAGCGCAAGCACCTTCCTCACACCTCAGCTAGTTCTTTGTGTCAGCAGTCTTTATACAAATATTTCTTTGAAAAAGCATCTTGAAATTCTTGCTGGAGGTGCTGTGTGGGGGAGCAAGGCAGCCTGAACATGGTTTGAAAATCCACAGCAGATCACGGCTACTGTGCAAGTGTGATGTTATCCCCAGAACTGGAGCCAGGACAGGAAAAGCCTCCTCTTTCCATGTCTGTCAACCTGCAGCTGTCTTGGAACAGCCCAACTCCAAAGCAGTTTGTGCAGACCAAATGCCACAAAAAGTGTATGTAGTTCCACACTGCTTGTGTTTGTGAAATTGTTAGTGAGCTCCAGCTTCTGCCTTTCCTTATGAATACATGGGTGAATATCTCTTTACCATCCTTTCCTGCTTTCTGAACTATTTGACTCTTCCTGCCTTACCTAATACTTACTGTTTAGGGATTTAGGAAATGTTGTGGTTATTCCATGTGGGATGTCCAGCTGCACAGACTGACTCCGGGGTAGATTTTACCCATCTGCCAAAGCTGAGGGCTCTTTGGCTTAAGAAAATAATAAAGAAAGCCTTATTTATTAAGAGAATTGTTTTTAATGAGAACTGCTTCTTTGCCCTTTCTGGTTGTCGAGAGCTAGAGCAGCATTACCACAACACTGCCCACAGAGAAACGTCTGAGCTGATTCTGGAAGAGGTTTGTTTGCAAAGCCATGTGATGTGGGTGATGCTGTTTCTTTCTACATGCTGCATGTAAGAATTTTTGGAGTAAGAAGGTGTCTGTATAAAGAGAAGGATTTTTCTACAAAGGTTACCAAGGTAGAAGGAATTCTTTTGCAGAAGTTTCTTGCCTGTTTTCTCATATGTGTCCTGTATTCAAGTATTTTTGTTGTTACTGTCATCTGATTTGAGGAGAGGGTGGAGCTTGTCTGTTTGTGGCTGAGGTGACTGACAGTATTTACTTTCCTGAGTCCTTGTGGGTGGGGACAGAGCGCTCCTTCACCGTGGGAAGAGAAGATGAGTAGAGAAACAGACGGCAGTGCTGTGAGTATTTTCCCAGTTTTGGCAGAAAGCTGTCATTAACACCCATTTTCTCTTTGCAGCATGCAAGGAAACTGCTGGTTTTTCCATTGTTAGTCTGGTTTTAAGTCTAAGGTGAAGTACTCCATACCACACCCACCAGGAAAGCACATCAAAGTCTGAACGCTGGTAGATGATAGCTGCTGTAGTAGGCTGACTTTCATCAATTATAGCCCGCCTTGTTAGTATTGACTTGGGGCTTTTGTGTAGTAAAAAGTGCTCTTACATTGTTTCTTTGCCACAGAACTGAGTCCATCTGCATTGGGAGTAAGGACATTTCTGAGGTTCCATGGAAAGATTTCTGACATTGCAGTGTGTTCACTCGGATTTATACATTAATCTTCAATTTCATGTCAGTTTTGTTTTCTGGGACCTCAGTTACCTGCACAGTTGTTATTTCAAGTGTGTTACTGTTTCCATAATGCTTCCCTGTCTCTGAAGAATTTTGGGAAGTACGTATTTTGCTTACACCAATGAGAAAAATGTGTCC